AAATATCATATGCTTTCCCTGGTATGCGACAGTTAATACAGAATACAAAAATATAGAATGAAATCGACATCTTGTGATATGTGTATTGTTTTTAGCTCTTGTTTATACTCCTGTGGAATGTTGTCTTCCCACTTTTTACTTGTTGAGTATTATGGTTATTAGTGAACCAATCCAGTGATTATGGTATGGGTTGAAATTTATCTTTGTAAAATTAAAGAAAGAAAGAAAAGAAGGAAGGGGATTGAAGAGATGGAAGGGAAATACAATTGCTTTCTTAGAATTGTGAAATACATGAAATCTATTCTCTTTTTGTCAACAAAAATTTATTTAAAATATGGTATAGAGTTACAGAAATGCAATTTCCCATATTTTACTGAGACCTGACAAGATTCCGTTAGATTCAGGGAGCCTGGGAATCACTGTGCTCACACCTACAACCAAAATGTGTCTATGTTCCTTAAAATACACTTCTCTTTTGGCTGCAAATGTGCAACTGGCAGCAATCACGGTATGAAAAACATACTTAAATATTGTAAAGATGATAGATCTTTTACTTTGTACATAAACAGAGGAGCCCGGTACAGCGGCTAGAATATGCAGTCTAGAGTGGAGAATATTAATATTCATAGAATTCTGAAGTATTATATGAAAATTACCCATTTCTGGAGTGTTGGTTTTGTCGAATTTTCACAGCTTTATTTAAGCATAACAGACAATTAAAAGTTGTAAGTATTTAAGGTTGCTTATAAGATGTTTTGATAAAATGCATGTTGCTTAGAGTGAAGCTGGTTAACATATCTACCTTCTTGAATGGTTATTTTTACTTTTTAATGGTGAACATATTTAAGATATACTCCCTGAGCTGATTTTGCATATAGTAAATTACACATTAGTTTTCCAGGAATTAATCATCTTAAAACCGAAGGTTTAAGCCATTTACTTAACATATCCCCATTTCCCTTCAACCTCCTGTGCACAAGCTTTGTGACTATAAATGGGATTACATTATTACTTTCTTTATTTATTTTTTGGGTGATTCCTTGTTTACATTTGAAAGCAATTCATTTTTGGATGTTGATTTTATGCCTTTCTTTTCCCCTATGCTGTTGAAACACTTGCTCGTATACACATGTCTTCATCACTGAGTGCTACTTTAAAAACATTAGCTCCAGAGCAGCTAAACTGGAGTGGCATTTTTTCCACCTTTATGCCTAGCTCTCTCACTAAGAAGATGCTGCTTAATGTAGTATTAAGTTTAATGGGTAGGTATACAATCCATTTTATTTAAAGTATTTTATGTCCTACTAATAGTGTGACTCCACCTTCAAAATGCAGTATAAGGCTGCAATAGCAGGAAATGGCATGATGCTAGTACTTAACAAGGTGACAGCTCTGTCCATTAAAATTTATTAGGAGGTTTTGAACCTTCTAAGAAAAAATATTCTCTAAGCATCTTTATCAGTCAGATATTGTTTATGTGAACTTTCAAATTTAATGAGCGTGTGCTCATTTCCCTCCGAGAACCATATCTCATTTCAGCAGATAACTCACATTACTCAACATCAGGCAAATTATCAATTGAAGTCACTATTTCAATTGACTTTTGATTAATATGTTTTTGTTTCTCCCAAATAACTCTGTTGCAACTTCTATCGGCTACATAGTCTAGTTTTTCAGGACATCTGCCTGGTGGTCTTTCTTCTTGCCAAATTCTTTTGGAGAAATTGCTAACTGGAAACCATTATTTCACAATAACTGAAATGGTTTTCAGTCAGTCGTCCTTAAAACATGATTTATTAAATAGACACAACTTTTAAAAAATAAAAATGTTGGTTATGTCTGGAAAAATTGGATATTTAAACACAAAACTGTTATTACTCCTTTTCATTATAAAAAAAAAGAAAAGCACATCTAAAGAGTTTTAAAAACTTAAATACACCTGTGCTGGGGCTGCACTAAAGACAAAATTTGAATGTCTGATGCTAGTAGTTCTGTAGGGACATTTTTGAATATCCCTAGCGCTCAGCCAACATTAAGGGCTACTGATCTTCATAGTTGAGGGACTGAAAATGCATTATTTAATGTCACATTGCTAGTTAATTACTCTTTATTCCCCCTTGTCTCCCCTATATATATTTTTGATGTTAAAGTTTCCCCTATATTAAAGACATTTATTTGTATCATTTCAGACTCTCTTAGCCCCACTTTTCTCTTATTCTAGTTATCCAGCACCCGAAGATGTGACTTGATTATACTCTACTTCAAATATGGGCCACCCCTCACCCACTTTCTGCCCAGAATCTTCTAAAATTATAATATGGCAGTGCAGCTTTTGGGAACCCTCTTGGCATTCAGGATTACACAACCTGAAAATATTAATTATCATTCCAAGAGTTGAAGCTATCACTAATGGGTAATGGAGACTGATCCCCCCAACATTCCCCTGTACCAGTAGACTTCAGATGTGTTTTATATGCCTCTTTAGGCAGACCAGGAGCTTGAACAACTTGTCAACTGTATCAGTGGTCAGCTTCAGAACGCACCTTAGTCCTGGCTCCCCTGCTTCCTTGGTAACCTGGCCCTCTCCCTACCTCTTTAGGTCACATTCTTCATTAAAATATTTGTCCTTAGGAGCAGGTTCCAGATTGTGAAGAACCTCCAGTGTCATGCCCAGGGTGTTTCCTGGATGATTCAGAGCATCAATGTCATCAGCAATTCAAGTTTATGTTCTATACTAACCAAGTCCAGGGAGAAACATTTTGGTACTCTGAGAACATTTCATATTCATTTTCCGGAAAAGTGAACACAGCAGAGAAGACGAAAAGACAGGTGTTCATATACAAAAAGAAAGCAATCAAAAGGGCAAAAGAGTGAGTTGGGGGGAGAACAAATAACTAGGAATAAAATGAGTAGTGACAAATTATCATCCATGTTACTATCAGGATAATATTCATTAGCATATGAAGTATGTTAGGTCAAATATCATCAATATATTAGTGTCTTATTTATGCTTCTACACTTCTACTCATATTTACAAACATTTGCTCATTCATTCTATGCCCATATATTAATTGGCAACCATCAATGCTCTAGAAACATAGGTAATAAGTATTATAACTAGTAAGATTGAGAAAGAAGTAATGTTAAATTTTCATCCAAGTCTTCTTGACAACAAGGATAAGTACACTGCGTTAAATATTTCTGATTGGAAATGTATAAAAGCTGGATCATCTACCCCTGCAAAAACTATGCTGTATATTATGACCTTGCATGTCCCTACTCCCAGTTATAGACAAAATTCTTGGCTCTCTGGTCATCATGAAGCACCCCATCTTTCTTGTTAACATATATTCTAGTATTAGCCACCTGGTAGAGTCTTTATTTTCTCAGGATCTCGTCCTCTGAAACTCAAGACCTTCTTACTTGCGTAGTGTTTCCTGTTCCCTGTCTTTCATTTTACTCTCTAACAAATGAAATACATCTGGTGAAAAAACAAGAACGTGCCAACATATTCCGTCTCTTCTATTCAGTTTACCTTCCAATGGAGGTTACAAACAGAGGCGAGGTAAAAAGTAGAGATTACAATAAATAGGATGGAGAGAATAGTAAATGAAGAACTTCTTTAACAAAGATTAATCAGATAGAGCAGGCTTGAGGAAGGAAATGGGACTTGAGGATATTAGGGGAATTTCAGAGGAAGTAGAGATTTAAAGAATGAGACTGAGTCATCTACAAAAAAAGTCTATGGAAAAAATATTATCTAGAAGGAGATAAGTAAATGTGAAGACATCAAGGTGTGAGATTTTGATACAATTCAGGAGCCAAGATGGGGGTCAGTATAATTGAAATATGGTAAAAATCAAGAAAAGGGAATTATATTAGGATAGAGAGACTACAGGTATTGCATTCTTCAGGGTTTTGCAAACCATCATACGGAGTTTGTATTATGTTATAGGGACAAAACTGGTGTTTGTGGAATTGATGTAAAGTATCATGGTCTGATTTTCATTCTTAGACAGAGTTCATATAATGTTTTATCAAGAAAGGCTAAAAGGACAGAAGATGCAGTAATCAAACAAGGCAACTAACATAGTCCAGGAAAGAATTGAACATACTGCTAAAAATTAAAATGGGGCAGACAGATGATGCTGTTAGGGTGTTGCTAGGGAAGCCTACATTTCATTTCACAGTACCTGGGTTTGACTCTGGCTCCACTTTCAGTTCTGACTTCCTGGTAATTCACACTACAATGCAGCAAGTAATGGTTCGTGCCACCCATATAGGAGACCTGAATTGAGTTCAACGCCCAGCACTTCCATCTGGGAGTGCTGCTATCATTTGGGGAGTAAAGTGGTAGACAGAAGATTCACTGTCCCTATCCCTCTGCCTTTTAAATAAATAAAACTAAACAAATGTTATAAAATATATAAATGAATAATATGAGTATGAAAATCATATAGCATAAATGTATCAAAATAATATTTACTATATTCAATGATGAGGAAACAATAAAGATCTGATAGCTAATTCAAAGGACATGTCAAAGAACGCACCTATATTAGCAATCAGAAGTACAAAAATGATGGCAAAATAGAAGAGAACCAAAAATGATTCATATCCACAGTGCAATAATCACTTGCATTTTTGTAAATAAAATCACTTGTATGATTGGTGAGTTCTATATTTTACAATAATTTAGGACTAGTTCAAAGTCTAAAAATGGGCATTAATAACCAGGCACAGAATGCTGACAACATACCCAGTTTCTGTTCATTGCAAAGTCCTTCATAGCTCTTCCTAACAAGAAATTGAACTAGGAAAGTGATAGTGGATGCAGATATACAGAAATCTGTAAATCACAGATATGCTGCAAAATCTAAATTGATTGGATTCACTAATGAATCGGAATGGGTGTGTGTGTGAGAGAGAGCCTAAGATAACTGAAGGAAATACACAAGGATTATTTGTAGGGTAAACTTTGTTGTATGGGACAATCTTACCTGACACTTGACTTCAAAAGAACTTCTCCACTGGACCGTGATAAACGGAGTTCTACCTAGAGGACAAGATGATATTTAGAGAAAGAAAATGAGAAAAAAGGAATATATTCAGATGAAATGAAAATAATGAATAAATGATAAGTGAAAGTCTTCACTGATTCTAAAGGCAAATTGTGAAAATTTTCTCACTGCAACAAGCCAAAGTACAAAACAATGTTGTGAACATTTTCTAATCATCTCACACAGTTTAGGTTGAAAATGACTAAAGTGACAAGATGCTGAGATGTGAGGGACGCAGGTGTTCCTGGGTTTTGCTTGTCTAACACATCCTTCTTTGAGTTCTTCCATACTTTGGATGGTAGGATATTGGGTATAAGGTCAGGTAGTGGGTGATGTCAATGATGAAATGGAATGAGTAAGGTACACAGAATTCCATAATATCAGGTCCTTGGAGTAGAGAATTGGGGAAGACAAACCTGGAGATACTAGAGATAACAAAGGCATGTGTAGACTGCTTTAAAAGTCACAAGGAATTTGCGTTAGCTTTTCGCAACACTCTGTCCACAAGAGAAATGGGATTCATGTCCATTTAAACTAAAAACTGATAATGATATGGTTTGTGATTTATAAACCAAAAAAATTGACCCTAAAAGAATCTAAATGTAAATAGCAATGACTCCTGATGGTTCAATTATTGATAACTTGCTTTATATATTATGTACTCTATTATCCAAGATCTCTATAATCAACATGGCTATCAGAAAAACAACAAAAGAGCACATTTGTGGGCATTAGGTCAAAATATCTATTCAGATTGTATCTTACCTGAACCACACAACACAAGACAATACATGCAGTGGACCCAGAGAAGGTCTATCTGTGAAATAATTGTCAGTCCCCAAAGAACAAAAAAGGTATGCCATCCATGGTACAATGGTTACGCCTTTGCATCATGAAGATAAATGTGAGATTATTTGTTGTATTTTTACTTTGTAGTTGTCACCTAAAAGAGTGTTTCCTACAGACACGATTAGGAAAATGTTTTGGAAGATGCTGCATAATGTGTCATACCAAAGGGCATCATGGCTGCTTAACTACAATGAAATTACAATAAATGTCTTAAGTGTAGAAAATTCTTCATACATTTGATCTGCACTGAAAGTTCCTTCCTAGGACATGCCAACTGTAGAAGAAATATGTATGACACCATCTCCACCCTATTGTTTGCATCATCCTGCAACCATAGCCCACTAGGGTGAAAGGCAGTGGGCTCCCCAGGCTGAGTCCAGACTGAGTCTCCCAATGCCCAGTATTCCAGTGACCTGACATTCCCACAGGAAGAGTCAATAAAGGGAGAATCCTGATTTTATACCATAATATCACAGACTCAGCCCTTCCTGCCCACGACAGGAAAGACATCATTCATCCAACTCAATTTGGCTTTATAACTTCTCAACACTGCATACCTTTTCCATGCCCACTCTATGTGAATTCACTTTTTAAATATAAAATTGACAAGTTACACACTGGTGATTTTTCCTCTAAATGAGCTACCAATTTTCCCAAATGCTTCAAAAATCACCATATCAGGATAAAGTGTCATCTTCATGTTTTGGAAAACTCAAAGACATGTACCATTCTGTTGGTAATTTCAGAGGAAAGATGTATGTGATAATCATTAAAACAAAGGCTATGGATTTTTTTATTATTATTTATTACAAAGTCAGATACACAGAGAGGTGGGGAGACAGAGAGGAAGATCTCCCGTCTGATGACTCAATCCCTAAGTGACTGCAACGGCCGGTGCTGCGCCAATCCGAAGCTAGGAACCAGGAACTTCTTCCAGGTCTCCCAGGTGAGTGCAGAGCCCCAAGGCTTTGGGCCGTCCTCAACTGCTTTCCCAGGCCACAAGCAGGGAGCTGGATGGGAAGTGGAGCTGCCGGTATTAGAACTGGCGCCCATATGGGATCCCAGCGTGTTCAAGGCGAGGACTTTAGCCACTAGGCCACCACTGCTGGGCCCAAGGCTGTGGATTCTTACAGAAGACATTTAAAATGTTTTCCTTGCTCTTTATCACAATTCAAATAGCCTTGGAGATGATCCATTCTCATGATGTGGAAGATGAAGAAATACAACCCAGCTCTGTTGTCTATGTTCAGTAGAGTTGGGATTGGAAGCATGTGTTTTTTATTGTCTTGTTTTTGTTTTTCTGCCTTCCATCAGGGAGAGTTACATTGTGGAGGAGGTCAAAATCTGAAGGACCTCCTTAAACTCATTTCTCTGGGTGCTACAATGTTCCTTGTCAAGGGAGCCTGGAAAAAGAGCTGAAGCAAACCTGGAAAACCTAGAAAAAGACTACTTTACTACTAATTTTTAAAAAATCTTGTTAGTTTTGATATAGACACTAAACTAGAACTAAGCAGACATTTATCACATGACAGCCAAGCTGGAGGAGCTAAGTGAGGTCATTCTGTGGAGAGGATGCATGGCTGTTTTGTCTTCCCCTCTGATGTCAACTTTTTGGAGATGGGGAGGGAGACTTGCTGTGGCTTGGCTCGGCCTTCCCTAGCCAACCCAGCAACTTACCTGACTGATGTGTTAGTGAGGTCAGTTTGGAATATTCTGGCTTTTGCATGGCTGAGTGGCAGATCCTTTGGCAGGATGGCTCGAGTTGATTGTCCAGCCCCTCCCTCTCTGATGGAAGGTCTGAATGCTGAATGAACTCAGACTGCTCTAGTGAGCAAGTTCTGCCTCTCTGTGGCCATACAGCCATATGAAACACATGTTAGAAATCCTGCAAGACTTGAAGCACTTGCAGGCCCCAGTTCACGTGGATTTGGCAATAGCAGCCTGAACAGTTATCCTTTCTCTGAATAATTGCACTATTTTTTCCCCCAAATGTGCTTAGTTAATTTTGGAGTCTAGACTGTGAAATCTCAAGAAGAGGCACCACTAATCTTGTGCTCGAGGGAGTGTAACAGGATAACAGTGTCCACACAGGATTTCCTTGGCTAATCTGTTGAATCTCTTTTTGGGATCTCTAGGGAGGTTTACAGAAACCATGAGTCATCAGTTGAGTGGGTTAGTGAAAAGTTACCAAATTCATCTAACTGCTTCCCATCATCTGTGCTTTTTAACTTTTCAGCTAATCCTCCTGTGCAGCCACTATCTTCCCTTTCTATTTCTCTAGTCCATTCCTGTTCCACATTTCCTCAAACTGTGATCACTTATTCCTATTCTTATTTGCTTCATTCTAAAATTCTAAAATTCTCTGTAAATTCTAACGTGTGACAGGAACTTAGAGTGTCATGATGATTGCCATTTGTACTCCTCTGCCTGGTTTTGTGAGTGGGTGTGTGTGATCACGAGCCTGAGGGAACAAAGCCTAATCTTCATGAACAGAGCACCGCTTGAATTAGTTCATATTATCACCACTCCCAGCGGACACAGCCTGAACTTAGGTAGACAAAACCCAGGACCCAGGTACATCTAACCGGTTATAAGGATAAGATTTCAGAGTTGTTTTGCTATTGTTGTTTTATTGTAAATTTTTTTTTAAAGATAAAGAACAGAATAGGGCCTTCTGTGAATAAGAAGCAGGTACAGGTTGTTTGCATTTTCTCCTCTTAGGCTTGAACCCTGATCTTTGTTTTTCTTTAGCTAAGTACCCATATTGCTTTCCACCATTCTCTAACAAGTCCAGTCGTATCTATTGTTCAATATTTCTAACACTACCATTATAAGTGATGTTCACAGATTGCAAGTTCAAATCCCCATGCATTTTGGCACCAGAAGGAAAATGTTCCATAAATCTGATCCACACTGGAGGATGACAAGATGATAACAATATTCACATGGACAATTTTATGTTTAATAATTGGATGAATACAAATGGAATGCTGCTTTAAAGGCTTCCAAAAAAAAACCTGAAAAAATGTTTTCCAGAGATTTCTTAATTTTAGAGATAGTTTAGTTTTTTGCTCTGAAATGCATTAGATCTCAAACCTGAAAAATGAAAAACAGTAAAATAAGAAAATAAACAACCTTTAAAGACCAGATGTAATGCTGTTTAAACATGGTTTGTTGGCAAGAGCTGACAAAATATTAGGTGCTGGAGGTGTTCTGAGGCAACAATTAAAGCCTTGTTTCAATGAATTTAGTATTGATGCGACCACATAGACCCAATTTGCACCTTATTTATTTATTTATTCCCTCATTCTTTTTCTTTTAAGGTTTATTTCATTTTTATTTGAAAGTCAGATATACAGAGAGGAGGAGAAACAGAGAAAATCTTCCATCCAATGATTTACTCCCCAAGTGGCTGCAATGGCCAGAACTGAGCTTATCTCCAGCCAGGAGCCTCTTTGGGGTCTCCCACGTGACTGCAATGTCCCAAGGGTTTCCCAGGCCACAAGCAGGGAGCTAGATGTGAAGCGGGGCTGCCAGGATTCGAACCGGTGCCTAGATGGGATCTCGGCTTGTGCCAGACAGGGACTTTAACTGCTAGGCTACTGTGGTGGGCCCTATTTATTTTCTGTCTTTAACTCGTGCATTCATTTTAGAAAGAACAGTCTTCCTTAAAGTCTGTCTGAAAATTAGAATTAGAAACCATAAAATATATTCACTTTGTGGGTAAATAAAATGCTCTTAGAGTCAACTAGTGATATTCAAGATTCTTTACAAATTCATTTGCCTGGTAAGATATTCTCTGTGATAAATGTTTGTCAATTTCTTGGGCAAATCTATTAGGTATGAAATAAGCATGGTTTAAATATATGAGCTTTCAGGGCTCATATCCACGGAATCTATTTATAATGAGATATTTTCAAATTAGGTTTTTTATATTCCAATTTATTTTATCTGATATACTCAAATCTAGGAATGATTTATTCACTGTAAAGTTTAGGAGTAGCATAATTTTAAGCAGTAAATAATGCCACCTTTACTGACATAATGAGCTAATGTATGCATGTATTGCAGCCAGCACTGTGGCATATCAGGTGATGCCACCACATGTGAAGCCTGTGTCCCATATGGATGCCTTGGCTGCTCAACT